CCAGCAATGTAGCCTAGGCCTTCCTCTTTATACTGGTAATTCCCACGCTGGCCAGCTGAACGGTGGCTGGAGAGTAGGGCCTGGCAGCAGGAGACCCCCACCTCCACCGGGAAGGGGGGGGGGCCTGGCTGTGATGTGAGGCTATTCGTACTAACTTTAGACTCCGTCTTCAGTTGCTATTTAACACCCCCCCCAATTGCTTGAGATTCACTTATCTTCCAGCGTCTCTTCTATTTATTATTTTTTTTATTTAATTCCACTTATACCCCGCCCTCCCCGCGTACGGGCTCAGGGCGGCTTACAACCACAAGGCACAACGTGCGATAAAAAACAATAAAACAATTTAAAACAATCCACACATGGGACACGCCCAAGGATCCCGCATGCCTAAAACCCTCTCTCTATATTGCACATGCCCCTTCCACTCCAGGGGAGGTTCCATTTACAGAGGAGGTTCCAGTGGCCCCTGATGTTCCTTCTGTATAAGCCTCGAGGTTGCCTACCAAGGACTCATGCCATGGAAGGAGACAGTAATAAAACTCTCTCAGAAACAACTTCTGAATTCTTAAGCACATGCAAACTGGAAGGTTTCCCTTGTTTGAAAGCTAGTCAAATCCGACTCTAGGGGGATGGTGCTCATTTCCGTTTCCAAGCCGAAGAGCCAGTGCTATCCGAAGACGTTTCCGTGGTCACGTGGCCGGCACGACTAAATGCCGAGATGCACAGAATGCTGTTACCTTCCCACCGAAGCGGTACCTATTTATTTACTTGCAATTCTTCCTTTCAAACTGCTAGGTTGGCAGGAGCCAGGGCCAGAGATGGGAGCTCACTCCATCACACAGCACTCGGGTCTCAAACTGCCGAGCTACAGACCATCTGGTCTGCAGCGCAGTGTCTTAACCTCTGAGCCACCGCAGTCCCCTATGCAAACTGGAAAGACAGTCTCAATTAATAGGGTTGCAATGCCAGACTCCCTGGTGAAGGTGGGTAGGGGGGGGACATGCTCTGGTATTTGGGCAAAAACTCCATGGTAAAAGGCAAATTTACCATAGAGTTTTCGCCCAACTACCAGAGTGTCGCCCCAGTATCCTGGCCAGTGAGGTAGACACCTTGCTGTAGGTTGGACAGGCCTCCCTGCTGCTCCTGGGAAGTCCCCTCCTCCATCCCCCGCCGGTTGCCAGGAAGGATCTGGCAACCCTATCAATTAAGTATCTGTGAACTTACTACATTTCCCTAAAAGGAAGACTACATTGTAGGTTTTTTCTCGAGGTCCATCATCAAGGTAAAGTCAAGAGGGTCTCATCATACATTCACATAGGTAAAGGTAAAGGTTCCCTTGCTCGAAAGCCAGTCGAATCCGACTCTAGGGTTTCGGTGCTCATCTCCGTTTCAAAGCTGAAGAGCCAGCGCTGTCCGAAGACGTTTCCGAGGTCACATGGCCGGCATGACTAAACACCGAGGCTCACGGAACGCTGTGACCTTCCCACCGAAGTGGTCCCTATTTATCTACTTGCAATTTCTTGCTTTCGAACTGCTAGGTTGGCAGGAGCTGGAACTAGAGACGGGAGCTCACTCCGTCATGCGGCACCCGGGTCTCGAACTGCTGAACTACTGACCTTCCACAGCCTGCAGTTCAGTATCTTAACCACTTGAGCCACCGCAGCTCCTTTACATTCACATACAAGTTACAAATATGTACAGGGGGGAAAAGTCTTTGTCTATAAATTTATTTAAGGGTACCACCTTATATTTGGTGTCATCCTACATTCAGGGGATATTGGTTAGAGTGTCAGACTAGGATCTGGGAGACCCAGGTTCAAACCCACACTCTACCGTGGGAAGTTTGCTGGGTGACCTTGGGCCAGTTGCACACTCTCAGCCTAACCTACCTCACAAGGTTGTTGTGGGGATAAAATGGAGGGGAGGAGAATGGAAATTCCCCAGTCTGCACCTTTGGAATTTATCTCACCAAATGCCGTAATTTCAAGGAAAAGAGAAGGGGAAGATATCATTTCACTCAACATTATCCAGCATTTGACCCCTTTTCCTTGAGGCTTCTCTTAACTAATCTTACCTCATCTTCGTACATCAAGAGCTGACTTTTGCAAAGCAGAATGTATCGCTCTTTCCAGAATCCCAGGATCCCTCCGCTGTTCTTTTTGATCCAGCCCACTTTGTCCGCAGTAGAAGCACATTTTGGTTTCTCGGGAAGCTCCTCCTTCACACCCTACAGCAGCACCGAGAGGAAAGGAAAACGGGAAGTTAGTCATTCCAAACTCAAGTTCCAGCCTCTTGGTCTATTATACAAAACCTGCCTTGTTTTGCCACGCACAAACGCAGTAGGGCTGTACTAAGCACAGCTTTCCGGAGCTACTCCAAAGAGGAGCACCAGAAATCGGAGATGCACAGCCTGGACCTCTGCCTGAGACCACAGAGAGCCACTGCCAGTCCGATTAACACTTGGAATTCACTGCCACAGGAAGTGGTGGCAGCTACAAGCATGGATGGCTTCAAAAGGGAATTAGATAAGAGTATGGAGCAGAGGTCCATCAGTGGCTATTAGCCACAAGGTATAGATAGGGGCTCTGGGGCAAGTGATGGTCTTCTTGGTGTTTGGGGGGGTCAACAGTGGGAGGGCTTCTAATGTCCTGGCCCCACTGGTGGACCTCCTGATGGCACCTGGTATTTCTGGCCACTGTGTGACACGGAGTGTTGGACTGGATGGGCCTTTGGCCTGATCCAACATTGGCATTTCTTATGTTCTTATGAGTAGACAATACTAACTCTGATGGACGGATCCGTATAGGGCAGCTTCACGTGTTCGTGCGAAATCCGGCAGCCCAAGGCAAGCATCTAGTTCTCAAGAACGATCTCTGCTTGGGACTCCAAGCCCTGGTCAAGCAAGCACACGAGCGGCTGAATATTAAGGACAGCAACACTGGCTTCTCTGACTGGTAGGCAGCGTGAGGCCCATGACGGGTGGCAGAAGAAGTGCCACAGGCGTAGCTCAAAGCCAGTGGAGTGCCGTGGTGACGAGAGTGTCGAGCTAGGGTCTGGGAGACCCAGGTTCAAATCCCCACTCTGCCATGGAAGCTCACTGGGTGACCTTGAGACAGCCACCTTACTCTCAGCCTCCCAGGGTTATTGTGACGGGTAAAACGGAGGAGAGGAGACTGATGTGAGCCTGCCCAGGTCCCCATTGGAGAGAAAGTCAGGGCATAAATGAAGTAAATCAGGGCTCTTTTTGTAGAAAAAGCCCAGCAGGAACTCATTAGCATATTAGGCCACACCCAACAGCAGGAACTCATTAGCATATTAGGCCACACCCCTGACAGCACAGCTCATTAGGCCGCACCCCCATGTTACCAGAAGTGTGGCCATCCAGCCACACCCACCTTTTGCTTCTTATTCTGTTTACCTTGTTTGTTGTCAAAACCCAGGGCCTTTTTTTGTAGCGGGAACTCCTTTGCATGTTAGGCCACACACCCGTAATGTAGCCAATCGTAATGAGTTTCTGCTGTTGGGTGTGGCCTATTATGCTAATGAGTTCCTGCTGGGCGTGGCCAACTCGGGAGCCAGCCGGAACTCCGTTCCTGTGCGTTCCTGCCCCAAAATAGCCCTGAAGGAAACAAAACTAATAAATGACAATAAATCAGGGTCTTTTTTTTTATTTTTTTTACAACATATTTTATTAGGTTTTGCCTTCGTAACATTATAACATACATAAACACATTGGTGTATTAAGTACATAAAGATTGTAAAATGGTCTTGTTTTGGAACTATGCTATAAAGGGTGAGTAGATATCTACATAGATTTATGCAATGATATATACAGGATACAATTGTTGACTTACAGCTTACAACAGTTATAACTTCAGTGGATAGTTGGTGTTACAGTAAACACATACAAAACATATTTAGAAGCAATATTTGTTTACACGTTACCAGAGATGAAAAGTATCAATTTCCTTTGGGATATCATCGAATTGATGTAAATATTCCAAGATAGGGAACCATACAGCAATAAAAGAAGATTGGACCGGAATCTTGTCAAGCCGCGTAAGGTTATCCGAGAATTAAATCAGGGTCTTGTGCGACAACACGGATATATAGAAAACGTGCCCTTTCCTGATCTCAGCACCATACTTCTCCCCATGCCACACCCAGACTTTTTTCATTTTTAATAAGCCCCGCCCTCTGAAGGCCTTCAACTCAGCCAGGTGGGCTCCTAAGAACTCTTATAAAAGCCCAGAGCCGGCACGGCTGCCCAAGCGTCCCGCGCCCTTTAGGAGAAATACACCCTAAAATGCAGGGACTCCTCCCTCCCTCCAGGTCCTCTAGAGAAAAGAAGCGCCTGTTTTCCAGAGCAAAGAGCGTCTCTCACACTGCTCTTTATTTTAATGGAAAGTCTCGCAATCCCTGGTTAGTGCCAAAAGGAGGAATGCCCTGTAAACCTCACGGCCTGCGTTCTCGTGAGACAGCTGACAAGCCTCCCTTTCATGCATCCCAACACACAAACCAAAACATTCTGGAGACGAAGAGTTTGCTTGGATTGACACTGCCGAGAGGGGACCCCACAGCACAGCACAGCACAGAAAGAAAGAAGAAAGGGACATGCTGAAATGACCATTAGATGCAAGGAATAATGAACCGGTCAGGTTATCACTCAAATAATCTGAGGAGCTCTTTAAACTAGGTGGTGGCTGGAGATCTCCTGGAACGATAACGGATTTCCACACGATAGCGATCAGTTCCCCTGGAGAAAACGGCCCCTTTGGAAGGTGGGCTGTATGGCATTAGACCCCACTAAAGTCGCTCCCCTCCCTAAGCCCCGCCCTCCTCAGGCGCCAACCCAAAAATCTCCAGGTACTTCCCAACCCAGGTCTGGCAGACGGCAACCTCCCTTTAAACTCTGGGCAGCTAAATGTGGCGGCTTCCGCGGAGATAGATGAAGATCTACCTGTAGCAGCAGAAAAGAGTAAAGAGTCCAGACTCCAGACTAACAAAAATTTAGTGAGCAGTGTCTCCCGAAAGCTCCTCCCCTGCCACAAATTCCGTTAGTCTTTGCGGTGCCGACTGGACTCGTGCTCTTTCCTACTGCTACAGACAGACTAACATGGCGACCCGTCTTCATTTTTAAACGCTGGAAAGCTCAATTTTAAAACCCACAGCAAATAACTATTCTGTTATTATTAATTGTCGAGTTACAACCAATTTACAGCAACTCCTCATAAGGTTTGCAAGGCATGCGAAGAATGAGCCAGCCAGCCTGCCCTCTGCGTAGCAACCCTGGACTCCCTTAGTGGTTTCCCATCCAAGTACTAACCAGGACTGAGCCTCCTTACTAGCTTCTGAGTTTTAAATGAGGCTATTCAGGCTGCTAAATAACTATTCTAATACACTAAGACAGAATTCCAAATCCCATCTTTATGGAATGTTCAGGTGATCTGTCCTGAGCAGCAGGGCTTTTTGTTGTAGAAAAAGCCCAGCAGGAACTCATTAGCATAATAGGCCACACCCAATAGCAGAAACTCATTAGCCTATTAGGCCACACCCCCTGACATCACAGCTAATTAGCATATTGGGCCACACCCCCATGTTACCAGAAGTGTGGTCATCCAGCCACACCCACCTTTTGCTTCTTATTCTGTTTACCTTGTTTGTCTTCAAAACCCAGAGCTTTTTTGTAGCAGGAACTTCTTTGCATGTTAGGCCACATGTAATGTATTCTTAGCTGCCATGAGTACATTAGGATGTATGGGAAACCTCCCATAGGGAAGCAATGTTATACATTTTTATCTTAGCTCAGGAAGGCAGGCTCCAGAGCAAACTAATTGATGCAGAGGCCAAATAGCTCGCTCATGACTTTAATGCCGGTGGCTCAGAAAGTAGAACTTTTGCTCACAAGACTCCACAGCTTAGAGGGAGCACTGGTCCCGACTGTAACCACATCTCAGCAGAGTTGAAAAAGTTCATGGTTTAGACTTCCTTCGATTCAAATCATTTCTGGGAAGGATGTGAGGAGTTTTTCATCAGCTTAAAAATAAAATCTAAAGTAGTCTTCTGAAGATAACCAGGAAGTAGAGTCTTGCTAAATTTGACACTTCCTGTAGATTCCCGCTCTCGAACGAATACAGGCAACAGTCAGATGAAGCCTCCTCTGATGCATCTTTCAGAAATCTAATCACAACCTCTTTTGCACAGGGATCAAATGCCAAGGCCCCTGGCATTTTCTGAACATTGCTTGCTTCATTGCAAGCCCGGCTCTGTGGGGCTGTTACAGCTCACAAACATGGCCAGGGGGAAAGGAGTTAAACCACACCCCACCACACTTGAAATCTGAATGGGGCCTCACATGCATTTACAAAGAAAAAAATTCACTGGAACTCCAAGCGTCCTCTCTAACTTGACCTGTATCCAGTGAAAATTCTGAAAAGAATAGCTTCGCCTTCTGCTGCACCGTTCAAGTCCAACGATGCAACCCATTTCTGAATGGCTATTTACAGAGGTCCGCAAAACCATCAAAAATAAAGTGCTTCCAGTTGTTGAAATCAGCCATCCCTGTACACATCAGATCGTCTCTTGGTAGTGGTCCACCACAGTTTGAGGATCTGGGAGAAAGACTGATAACCTTGGAAGTGGAGCTGCTGCCTAGAAACTGACTCTTCGGCACAGATTAAGTAAACACCCTTTGTCAAGGCACTGCATGAACACCTGATGCTGCCTGTTACTGAATCAGGCCATCATCAAGGTTAATATTGTCTACTTAGACAGGCAACAGTTCACCTCAAGCAGAGGTCCTCCTGCCCATTACCAACTATTTGATTCTTTTAACTGGAGATGTCGGAGATTGAACCTGGGGCTTTCTGCATGCAAAACAGATAATCTACCACTGAGCCGCGGCCCCTCTCACACACATCTTCATGGAAAATAAACTCCATCCCTTTCATCACTGGCTAGAGGACATTTGTATTAAGAAACACATTCCTCAACAAAGGGAATTATGCACAGTAGTCTGACCCAAACTAGTACACATCACACAGAACAAGGTGATGAAATTCTGGACAGGTCTATGTTGGTTTGCATGTGGGAGAATTTCACTTCTGGATACTTTGCAGAAATTTGTATTAACACTCTGCATGTCGTCAAACTAGCACAACAGGGAGAAAGCTATGCTCACCTGGTTAAGCTAGATTAGGTAAAGGTTTCCCTTGCTCGAAAGCCAGT